CTTGTTTTCCAGACCTGCTTGTGTTCATCCTTGGGATATTTTGTTGTTCATCAGATGGGCTGACAGGATGGATCCCTGAGCTGGGTGTGGTGATGACTGGGGAGCCTGGGAGCTGTTCTGTTAGGCAGCTGGTGGTGTGAGTTTGGTTCTAGCTGGCCAAGGCAGGTATCAGTGCGTTATTGGGTGAAATACATCCGTGAATTGTGTAAGAAGGTTTGGAGAATGGTTGGATTGAGGGTGATCAACCAGAGATGAATTTGGAAAGTGAGTTCTAGTAACAAATATGTAATAAGGGAAAGGGTGATTTCTCTTATTCCCCTGACTAAATAGGTGATTGTTACTGACGTGGGAAATGTTTGTTATTTACCAACTTACTTTTTGGTAGACTTTTTTTTTTTTCTTTCTTAGTGTTAAGGCTAGACCAGGTTTAAACTGTTTTTTTATTTCTTGAGGTGTGAAAAATTTAATATCAGCTGATGTGATTCTAACTCTAGAGAGAGGTGCTGCAGTTTCAACAAATGGCTTAAAATGAGTTGCTGCATTAAGGAGGCAACTGGCTTGATTGTGACAACTCAATGACATGCATTATGAGAGTGTGTCAATAAAAACACAATTATTTAAACCCTGGCTAAAGAAGAGCATTCTGACTTCTGCAGTGCTCAATTCTTTGAAGTGCTTTTTAGTGGAGAATGGAAACTGACATGCATTTAATGACCTCAGAGGATATGTTATTTGTCATGTTTTGGAAATCTAACAGTTGAGTAACTGAACCCAGTCTGTGACCTTAGAAGTCACAGGAAGCCTTGGTGAAGAAATAATTATTATTGTATCCAATGCAATGTAACTCAGCAATGCTTTCCTCTGTTGATACACTTTATAAAACTTTAGATAAACCACAGTTAACACTCAGTAGGTGAGATGAAAAAGCCAAGTGAGACCTTTTCATTTTAGGAGTTACGGAAACCTTTATTTGAAAGTGACTTTCTTTGAAAGCTTATTTGTGCAAAGAGGTGATACTTGTTTGTTTCAACATAGGCTGTGTTGACATCAGTGCTATCTTATTTTGCATATTTAGTGGGGTCTTTGAAATTCAGTAAATGAGTCAAACTGTAACTGATCAGAAACAGGCCACATTTTACATATTTCTGTGACATAGGAGCTAAACAGTAATGGTTATTGTCATGTCAGATTAATCCCCAGAAATGGTTCATTTTTGCTTCTGATAGGTTAAACATTTATGTGTATATGTTGTTTGTAAATAATAAATATTTGGAACTCGCTTACTTTGTTTGTGTGTAGTTTGATGCAGGTGTTATGGGCTTCTTTAAGAGAAGCAGCACTACAGAAATTGCTTGGAGCAGTGCTTTGATAGTTGCCTTTGAATATGACCAAATACCTTTTCTTCCACATCACAGTTACCACCCACAAGTGCTCTGAAGATGAATTTGTTATTCTAATAAAAAAGAACTGTGTATAATATAGGTATATTCAGATAGCTGAGCTACCTTTAAAACTGCATCTATAACTTCTCACTTTCAGGGAGAGCTTAAATGATCTTGCAAGCATTCTGCATCACATGCTTAAAGCAGCAGTGAGGAGGTGATCACGTCAGAGTTTCTGTTCTCATCTATAAAATTCTATTGGAATAACAAATAAGGTATTAGATGCTATTAGAACATTTGGTCATTTGTGGCTGAGAACAAAAACTGATGATCTAAAATAAATTAGATGACTGTTCTGCTCTCCTTTGGTGTCAGGCTGGTTACAAGAGAATGTGCTCTTTCCATTGGTGGGAAATGCTCTTAGGCTTCACCTCTCCCTCTTTCATCTCACTTGGTGTGACTAAGATGTGAACAATGTTGCTTTACAGCAATAGGCTATTTTCTTTTTCCCTCTGCTTTAGATCTGAACTGCTATTGTACACGAAATGTTGATCATCAGGAAAGATTGCTATGGTGAAAGAGCTGTTAAGAACATTTCTGAGCTTTCATAATTTCAATTTGAAGTAATTTGCACATATCTGCTGTTAAATATGTTACACTGTCTTCCAAGACTGTAAAATATATATTTTAAAAAATTTATTTTTAATATTACTATTGAAAGGCTCTTCCATTTGTGGCTTTTCTCTCTTTCTAAATGTGTATCTCACACAATGCATAACACATTGTAGTGTAAAGTTTTAAATTGCCTTTGGTTGTTTTATTCTGATAATTTTGTAGTTAATTGCAAACAGTTGTTTGATGCTCTTCAAACTGAGGTAAGATGAGAAGAATTTAAGGCCTGTCTTTATTTTTTAATAAGCCAGCTGAATTGGTTCAGTGTAATTTCTCTGACATGCAGACAAGGCAAGCTATGGTTGAAAGGCTATGCAGAAAAAGTTTATAGAACTGTATTTCAGATATGTAATAGTAAACAACTGAAATTATTTTAATCTTGAGAACAGGGACATGGCACAAGGTAAACAGTGCCCAAACACTACACCCAAGGCAATAGAACCTTCCTGGCTGGGCTTTGTGATGGCTGAAGGTGCTGTGGGTGCTCTCTATCTGGACCTGGAGATCAGGCTTCCCCTTATCCTTTGGGGAAGGTGTGAGTGTCCATGTTCATGTCAGTCCCGGCTCTGTCCACTCTGCTTTGCACTCAGGGGTGAAGGACCTGCAGCTCTCTCCCTGTAGCATCCTCTGGATGGCTCTTGGCTTGGCCTAGCTCTAGTGCTGATTAGAACTTGGGCAGTGTAACTCTGCTCTGGTATCCAGGTGAGTGATTTGTGCTGCTGGATGGACTCACCAGGAGATAGACCTGGAGTCTTTGAAGGAACAGAATGCCAAACCTGTCTGGGCTACCTGTGAACCTTGTGAGGAGCACAGAGATGCCTGGGCAGTGTGTGATCCCATTCAGGACATTGGAATTGTACCCCTTTGGCTCCAGTAATTTTTAGAATTGCATCCAGTTCACTTGGTGTGAATATCTAATGCTTTGGCCAATTTAAACCTTATTTACATTAGCTTAGTTTAAATTTGGTGTTTAAAGAGCTGTAATTGTCTGTCTACTTTAGAAATTCATAGTGACTTAGTGAGATCAATTTTAAACTGATTTTAATTAAACCAGAGAACCTTTTGTGTTTTTACAGATGAGGCCTGTGACAGGCCTTTTTAAATGGCCATGGAACCATTTATGCAGCCTTAGAATGTCTCTTATGCCTGACTGATTTCTTCTGCTGAAGTCAAATTTAGGCTATTGTTTTGTATATAAACCAAAAGAATTAAATTTTAAAGAACATTCTGTTCAGTTTTTGTTCCCTTGCTCTGAGAGTGATTCCTGTTTGTTAAGACTTCTATTAAATTACTCCCAGAACAGCATTTCACTGTCTTTTTATAGTAGACAGGCTGATGGACTCCATGACCTTTTTTACTTCTTATTTCTGTGATACTTTTTGTCCTCAGACAAGAGAGAATATAAGAGACTGCTGGGATATTCTAATTTTTGATGATAGGAAGCTTATGGTGATACAGAGGCTTAACTGCAGTCCCATGGTGAGATGTGCCACTATTCTAGTATATGGAAAATGTGTAAATTGCTTTTGTTGAAGGTTATTTGGCGAGAATGTAATAAATGTTGGGAAAATTCTCCTGGGAAGTTTTGGTTCTAATGCTTTAATTCTTGTATAGGATGTTGTCATAGTGAGGTGTGTATGAGGCCTGTGTTAGGAGCTGCTGAGGAGTTTAGAGTATGTGCATATCCATCAATGTAAACACTGACAAAGGATTGTGATTAGGGTGGAATGTTAAATGTAAAGAAAAAAACCAGAAACTTGTGTTTTTGTAAGGGCTCTGGGTGGGTGACATGAATATTTCTAACACCCAATTGATTCTGTTTCTTTGAGTAGAGGGCAGCTAATAGAGGGCATAATTCAGCTAGGCATCAGATCCCCTTGAAGAGTGATTCTGGCAAATAGGTGCAGTCAATATCTTTTTGTGTTACAAAATGGATGATAGTGCAGAGCTTGTATTCCCATTGATTCCCATTGTACAGGACAGAAAAATGAAATACTTTTTAACTAGCAGTAAATCCATGAGAGAATGCAAGTAGTCATCATGTAATCTTTTACCAATAATGCATATATAAAAATATACAGAAAACACAGACATTACATTCTGATCTCCCACTTATAATGTTTACTGTGATATTTTTATCTTGTTTGGATGGGGTTTTTTGTTTGTTTTCCTATCTCTGCAAACAGCAAATTTATCTTTTCATCTGTGTAAGGTATGTGTAAGGAAATCAAGTTACTGAGCCTCATTAAGAGCATGCTTCTTAATGATATTAATACTTTAGTAATGCTACAAACTAATAGTTTTCTAGGATTGGTGATTCTTCACGCAAAGCTTTTCCTTTAACTTTACGGTTTTGGACGGTGGATAGTATCATAAATCTAAATGACAACTTGTACAGTGTCTCATTACACCGACATCTGCAGCCACAGGGTGTTACAGTTGTATCTGTTACGGCAGCAGAGCCTGAGCCATTTGCTACTCATAGTGTTGAAACATGGGTATGAACACAAGAAACTGAACAAAATCTCTTGGTGATCACAGTTCTCACATTTTGGATGCAGATTCTGTCCTATCTTAGATGTGCTTGTAAGCCTGAAATCAGTTTGGATCAGAGAAACTTAAACCAAGTTTCTGCTTCAGCGTGCTGTTAAGCAAGTTGGAATGGAAAAGCAGAGCGATATTGTGAATAGGGAAGAAAATGTGATACATTGTACCCAGGTTTGTGTCCTGGTGGAGGAGCTTGTTAGGGAGCTCACTTAAAAACAGGTGTCAAGTCTTCAGAAGGTGAATGAATACACACAGTGTTCTCTATCTGCAGTATGGTCGGTGTCTGTGCTTTGTTGAAATGGAAAGCGATACGCTGCTTGAAATTTCAGAAACGGCTGTTTTCAGATGCCACAGTATGTTAAGCCTGGAAAACTGCAGAAACACTGACTGACTTTTTTTGCCCTCCCAGGTGATCACCAGCAGTTAATGCCAGCGGGCTCTCTCCATAGAAAGAAGCTGGCCAAAAGACCTGGGTACATGAGGCCAGAGGCTCAGCAACAGATCGAGTTCCAGTCCCTGGGTGCCTGCGCAGGGTCCAGCCCAGCAGAGCTCCAGCATGGTAGGCAGCACTGTGAAGGCTCTGAGGGATGTGCTCTGCTCAGACAGTGCCAAAATGACCTGGAATTCCTGCACCGTAGTGCTGTAGCTCCTGCTAATGGGGTGACAACCTTGGCCGCTACTGGAAACTCTCCAGGATGCTGTGAAAATCTTTCTTGCTGCAATAGTCCACGGTCAGATAGCACAGGGATAGGAGATGTTCCTGCTGGGTGCTGTACGTGGCAGAAGAGTTGCAGCACCAAAGTGAGCAAGCTCCCAAACATGTATGCTTTGGATCAGACAGAAGTGAATAATAACTGTGAATATCAAAACAGAGATGGGATTTCTCGTTCTGCTGGTGCACAGGATAGCTTTAGATCAAGTTTCAGTTTCATACAGCTCTCCCTGAACTTGGCCTCTGGAGTAAATGATGTGGAAGGCAAATCTATTGAGGAAACTGAGATTGTACTGCATCCCAAAACCACAGGCAATCTGCAGAAGCCAGAAGAGATGGCACAAACTCATGAGCACTTGGGAAATTTGTGCTGCTCCTCCAGTTCTGGTGAAGATTTGCAGCATGAACATGAGAGCCCAGTAAATGATAAATTACAGGACTGTGAGACTGTCTCTCTCTTGGATATAGACACAACATTTTCATATTCTACAGATTCCTCGGATGCAGCATCTGCTGGCTCTTCTGTCACCTCAGGCTATGAAAGTAGCTTTACTGTCAGTGACCATAACTGGGATACTTTGATGAAAAAATATGAACCAGTGCTACAGGATTGCTTGCTTGGCAACCGCAGTACGTTAAAGGTCAGTAATCTCACTTTGTTTTTGATATCTTGTCCTCAAAACATTTTATTTGTAGTGCCAAAATCAAAGTTTATGTAGGAGTTCACATACTACTGGCTTTTGTGCCCTTTGTTCAGAGTTTTGCAGTAGACCTCTGCATGATAAAAATGAGATAACAGGATTTGTTTGGTTCTTTAAAAATAGGTGATATTTTTGCAGTACCCTATTCTATGTTCTACTGAAACTTTAATCCTCTCATTTCTAACATCACACATCAGTTTCTGACTTCAGTAAGTACCATTTCTTTTCACAGGCGGCTATTTTGTCTGCAGTTTGGGTTATACGTAGTATAAAATTAGAAGGTGGTAAGAACTCTTTTCTTGAATTATCATGATTTAACAACACCAAACTTTTTAATTGGAAATGTTGAAGTTGAGCCAAAGACTTCTAAGAGTTAGGTTACTTTGTGAAAGTAGTGTGTAATCTAATAGGTGCATGAAGAAAAATGGGGGTCGAGTCCCTCTCTGTCTCCAGCTGGGAACTGAATCTTTTTTTCTTTTCCCCTTCTACGCTAGGGGAGTAGCGGGCTGGTGAGTCAGGAGTCTTTTTGCATATATGTATGTTCCCACACTTATACCTACAGTGTATACAGGCAGTGTCATTCACTGTGCTCTTTATAGGAGAGATGTGGGAAATCTTTAAGAAGGATCAGCTGTGTTATATTTTTATGGTAGGGTGGGCATTCTGAGCTTACCCAATCAAAGGAGCCAAGCATTGGCTTTACTGTGCACACAGGAAACAATCATCTAGAAATTAATATGGAGACAATGGATTGCACTAATTTGTTCAAGGTGCACTGAGTGGGTAATGAGGATTTTGTTGGTGGTGTTTTGGTTTTTTTTTTAGTTGTTTGGGTTGTTTTTTGTTTTATTGTTGTTTTTTATTTTTTTTTAATTTTATTTTAATTGTCTCACTAGTGCCTGAGTTTCTTGGTTGCCTTTCAGAAACTTAGATCTTTGTAACTTCTCAGCTCAGACACCTACCTGGTGAGATGTGCTGTTTTGTCTTTAGGCCTAATGAAGCAACCTGCTCTAGAGAGACTTTGCACAAACCTCTGGGCAAGACAGAAGGCTGAGAAACATTTATGCTTTCTTTACTTACCATGACATCTGACCTGGGCTTACAATGCTTTGTGGTACTTTATTTTCATAGATGATATGTGTAGAACTAGGTTCTCTTATTTACAAACTTCACACACATTTACATGGAGCAGTTTCTTTGGTTTCATGCCTGGAATTGCAATGTGCCTATAGTCTGAGATAGTTTGGGAAATTAATTCGCTGCAAATTTGGGAATGTATAATGCAATCAAAATAGGAAATTATTTTCCTTTCTTTTCAGTATTGCTTATTTGATAGGCACAAAAGAAACATTGTTATCTTTAATTTCTGTATTCATTAATACATTGAATGGAGAACTGGGGATTTGTGCCCTCAGATATCTTTGCCCTTGGTTAGCCAGTCTTGTATGTTGAATTTGAAGCACCTTCCTATTGTAATGATAATGCGTAGAATCTCAAAGTTTTCAGAAAGGAACAAAGGCAACAGTAGTCAAGAAAAGGAGACAATACCAAAGTTATTAAAATTATGCTTTCTCTGTACTTAAAAAGTGATCTTCATCTGGTACACATCTAGGACATGCCACTCTGAAGCACAAGCAGGTCTTTGATTAGCTGAGCTCCAAATGTCTCCCAGCCTGCAAATAGAAAGCACTTGACAGTGCAGCATCAGTCTGTTTGCTGTGGGTGTGCCTGGGCTGTGGTACCCAGGCTGACTTTAAATGACCTGCCACTGTAGAGCATGATGGAATAAACACTACCAGCAGCAGCAAAGCTGTACTCTCAGTATAGGTTGTTGTTATACATCATGGATATGAAAAAAGTGTCACTTGAATAATTCCTACTGCAAGCTTCTTTAAAACTCTATAAAAAGTTGGGCATAGAACACAGAAAATAATTTATGGTGAGGATTCAGAGCTCCTCCCTTCAGTACCATTTGCCTTCCTCACTAGCCTCAGAGAATAAAGATTGGAGTTTTGGGAAGTGAAAACTGAAATAAAGTAAAGCACAGAAGAAATGGGAACATGTGCAATGTTTTTTGTTTGTTTTTCTTCTGGAGCGTCCTGTAGTGTATTAGTAATCAAACATTTTTGGATACTCTCCTGACTTTATATTTTATAGTTCGTTTCTTACCAGTCCACTTTCACATACCATATTTAGAGGGAAATCTTGAATTTAAAGGTTTGTGTGTTGATTGTCTAATTTATGTGTTGATGTGTAGTCTTGGTAACTGAGTCCTTCTATTAACTTGTTGACTGGCTGTACCTGTTTTTCTAAATATGAGGATTAAATATGAAAGAGCTTCAGGGAGAAGGGAAATATTTTTTAAGATTTCTTAAGGATATCTAAACTATGGATTTTTGTGCTCTCCCAAGCACTTTCAGGCTTTGGTCTTTGAGAATATACACTGCTTCTTTCTCCAGGCTCACCTTTTTCAGGGCTGATAGTGGCTTGTTCGGTACAGATCATGCATAAATTTAATAAGAAACACATTTGAGTCTTGTACCTGCAGCTGTGGCTGTCATGGCAGTGAGGAGAAGACTAAACCTACCTTCCAACCAATTTCTTTTAACAGCAAAAACTTGTAAAGGCCTTACAAAATTTTAGTAAATTTAGAACTTTGGTCCAGACTCTTGATGTTAACAAAGAGAAGCATTAACTTTTGAAATAAAACTCTAATATGGTAAGTTTCTTTTGGAACGTGAGAGAGTACTTTGTATGTGATTTGGGTATTCTTGGTGTTCTGCTTTTATTCCTCATCTAGCATTTGCATTGTGAAAATGCAAATATCAACATTATGTAGATAAGCCTAAATTGTGTTTTAAGGAAACTTTTTTGGCTGCAAATTAACATTCTTTTCTGACCCATAACATCAATATACCTGTTCCAAAGTATTCATACTGCATTTCTGTTTACAGAATAAAATGTGGTTTGCATATGGAAATTTTATATTTGTTCTCTGCAAAACTCAGGTAAAGATTGTTGGAATGAGCTTGGTAACATACCGTTGAGTACAATGTGATCAGAAGGATATCATGCTGACAGAATTCTCTAATGATCATACTTTCATTTATTCAAAGGGTGAAAAATATCTACGATTGCACGATCTCCTTTGCTTTTCAAGAAATATAATTTGTTATTCTCTGTGTGTGTTTGGACTAAAGCCATGCTTGGCTCAAGTAGCTGCAGTTCAGCTGACTTCCAAATAGGTCTGTCTACTTAACAAATGCTGGGCTTAACTATCAACATTTGGCCATTGTAGTGATGTAGTAATCCATTAAATTTATATTGCATAGAAGTTAGTAGTCTATATATTTTTAAATGCAGCTTCTTCTTAACTAACTTTTTTTCTTTGCATAGTTAAAATCCTTGATCTTACGGCTTCAGAGGCTTCAGGAAAAAGCAATAGAGGAAGATGACTATGATAGAGGTGAGAATTGCTCCTCCCTACTCCCCACTGGATCATTCTGCTTTTTTTTTTTCCTTTCCCTCTTCCTCTATTAGTTTTATTTTATATTTCCTACGTAGCAGTGACTAGGTGTGGAAAACGAGTTCAATGAACTGTATTGCTTATTCTGTCATATGGCAGGAAACAAATTAAAGTAGGTCAGCAGCAGGTAGCAACAGTTTTTATTTTCTTGAGCCACATCACCATGTGGCAAGGTTGAAATCCAAATACCCACCATCTGGATCGGCTGTTTTGAAGCAACATGACTGAAAAAAATGCAGAAATGAATGGAAGCTTCAAAAGGAGAAAGGGCAGGCACTGGCTGCTGACAGAGTGAGATTTGCTGCTTGCCACATTTAGTCATGACACTACAGCAGGGCTCATAGCAATAAGGTCAGTAGCTATTACAGAAGTGAATGATACTGTCCTGTGGGATTAAGTTGATGTCCACTGAGTTCAATCAAATTCAGCTAGACAATATGGTGGTGATACAACTGCTGGCAAATATCTATCTTTGAATAATGCTTTTTCTTTCAAATGCCTTGGCACTTCTGATAAGTTTTATGTGTGTGCACGTTAATAATTTGAGCATCTATTAACATGTTTGATTTCTTATTGTTCCCTGTTGTGGTAGTCTGTGTTCAGGTACTCACATTTTGAAAACCTTGAGGTTCTAAGGTAAATTCTTCCTGCTAGGTCTATCTTCAGCTGGAAGAGACAGTAAGCATTTCACTGAGATCTGCATGGTTACTTCAGAGAATAAGTGTGGAAAAAGGCAGCTTCTTTTGTCCCACTTTAATATTCTTGGCTTTTAGGAATTGGGCAGTGGTCAGACTTGTGGTTTGCCTCTCCAAATTACTGTGTGATGCTTTGCAGTTGTAGCATGACTGTTTTCCTGCCCCCAAAGATGTCCCCAGGATGAAAATCTGGTTTCTAGGGGGTAGGTGTGTAGCACTTTTGCAAGAGTGGTTCTGTTGGCCTCTTAAAGGCCTGCCTGTGTGTAGGAGAAGTGTGTGCTACTGCCACAAGTCGTTCTTTCAGTGTGGCATTCCTAATGGGGATAAAAACCCTTAGGTGTGTTAAAATCTGAGGATGTAGTAGATATTTATGGGTTTAGTCTCTGTCAAATAGACATTATTAATGTGTGTGCTTTACATGTGTAACACTCATAACTCTTATTTTTTAAGTGCCTGTGGGTTGAGCTCACAGTTGGAGACTTCCCAACAGCTGTGTACTTGGTGTGCATGGTTACCACAGATTCCAGCTGGGATTCTCTAGGCAGTCAGCCAGTCTGACAGCAGTGTTTCAGTGTATCAGGTGTGACATCTCCATGTGATGCCATATAGTCGTTGACCACAGGGAAAAATGATGACTTGTGTTGAGTCTTACACAGAAAGCTCTTGTGTAGTTTTCCTGGGCACTAGTCTTGTATCCTTAAAACAGGACCAGTTGTCTGTTGTCCATCACTCCCTCCTTTTATCCTTTTCAGTTCCACCCTAGTTATCAAGCAGGGTTAGCACACTTTGTTGCATTAATTCCCCTCAGGTAAGTGGTCTGACTGGAATGTTATTTCACCGGGTGTTGTGGGCATAGAGAGAAAAAGTGATAAGGAGAATCCACAGGTGAGATTACTGTTTTCTGTGCTAAGTCTGGCACAAACAGGCAGAAAACATTTGTTCTGGTGTGTGACTGGATGCTGAGGTGCTTGAGAGACTTGAACTTCTTCCATCCCTTTGAAAACTAGATATCGTTGTTTTCAGAGAATGACATGCTTCATGCATGCATGCAACCAGGCATCCTGAGTTTTATCAATTCCTAGCTTTTGAGTCCTTGACCTGTTTTCTGTCATACTGGTCTTTGTTCTTCTTTTTTTTTTTTTTTTTTTTTTTTTTTTTTTTTTTTTTTTTTTTTTTTTTGTGACTACTTTTCATTATTTTCACGGAAGCTGAACTGGCTCCCTTAGTTTTCTTTTTGTGAAACATAGGCAGTCAGTGTATCTTCAAGATAAGACTTGCATGGAGAAGGTGTAGTGCTGCAAGGAGAATCAGAGCTGCTTCCTTCCTTCCTCACCTCGCAGTGGCAAAGCTTTCCACCTTTGCTTTCAGAGCTACGCTGCTGCTCCTGGTGGAGAACAAAGGCTTCCCTGGCGTGAAGTTTGAGAGCTTGCTAAATAGCTCACAGATTGGCCCAGTACCAATTTCTGTTCAAGTGAAATCTGTAATTAGCCTTCTTTAAAGGGATCTTATTGCCAAATATTGCTAGCAGGGAATGGAATTGCTAAATGTGCAGAGCTGTGATGTGGGGCATACATGGTGGTGAATTATCAAGGAGTGGGAGCAATGAACCTGGTGCATGGGGGGGGGGCTGAGGACATTTTAACTGTAATGCTAGGGAGAAAATTACTGATCCTGTAATTTGGGGAGTGACTCTGAGTATAGAGTGAGTCCTCTGCTAAGAGCAGAACTGTTTTGAATCAGAGATGATGGTAGTGTTATGTGTGGTGCCAACACAGGTCCTGCTCATTTGGAAGCGCTGCAGGAAAAGGATAGATGGGAATTGCTGTGAAATGCCCTGGACATGGAAGAGGTGAATAGAGAGGAGGGAGAGCAGGTGGAGAAGGGGTATGTGTGGCTAGACTCCCAAGGGAAAAGTTAAATTGCCAATAAATACATTATCATGTCTAACTACTGCATTGGTGCTAGAGTCTTCTCTCCAGCTTCTTCAGCCATTACCAAGATTTTAACTCCAGAGATTTTCTGACTCCAGGTCTCAAAGAGCCATCTAGTCTTGAGGGAAGGCCTCTTGGTGGGAGGGAGATGTGTTAGCACTTAAAACTCCTCTTAGTGCTCAGAACTGTTTTCTGCTGTCTGACATTGCCAACTTCACAGCTTAAGGAGAGACAAGCATCACAGTTTGACATTTTTGCTTTCCTGCTCTACAGAGCTTTTTGAAAGCTCCTGTAGTTTAAGGTAATCATTGAAACTGAATTATAAGTAAAGTAGTGTCCCTATAGGGAGGGAAAAGGGATGCACCGTGTTTTCAGTTGTGGCAACAAGACCAGGAAATGACATAGAAATAAAGGCCAGCTTATCCCCCTACAAAGCCACGCACAAATACCTTGTTGCAAACAACTCAGGAATAAGGGTACATTTGTTTTTCTACCTTGCAGAAACACAGGAGAAATGCACGCTGCTTGAGCTGTTAGAGAGCATGGTGTCTTCCAGGTTAATGTTAATGCATTAGCATTTATTTACAGAATGAGGGAAGTTTTTTTTTTAAGGGCAGCCACAGCCCTCCATTGTTGTTTGAGAGGCAAGGGAATACCTGTTTAGGTCTTCAGCTTGTTTCTTTCTAGTTTTTCCTTTCTTTAGGTAAATCTAAAGATTTATTTGAATTTTTGTCTTTGTCTTCCTCCTCCCCTTGAGCTTGAGAGGTGCACAGCAGAAATGACTCTTGCTATTGCTTGGTTACCTTTGCTGTGCCTCTGCAAGACCTGCATTGGCATGGTTAGGGTGTTGGTGTGGAGGAGCTTCAATCAGGCATTCAGAGAAGTGCATTTTTTCCTATTCTTTTTGGCCCTGCTGAGTGTGCAGGGTGGGGAATGTGTTTTTTCCAAGAGTGTTGGGGGCTGCTCAGGGTGGAGGCCACCCCTGTGTCCCTCATTGGCGCTCATTTTCTGGAGGTCACAGTGCTGTGAAACCTGCAGGGTGTTCTCTCTTCGTGCTGTAGCTGTCAGGGGTTCTTTCAAATGCAGATATTCCTCGGCTGTGAAATGGTTGTGTGAAATGCATATTCAGTGAGACAAATATCCTCAGTCCCAGTATAATTTTAAAGAGGAACCCTTGGGATGTTATGTGTTTTATTGCTCTTGCTTCTTTTTAGGTGCTGAAATATTGGGAAAGAAATTATTTTTTTTTCTGTATTTACTTGTGGTCTCCTCTTGATGGCCACATAACTGTATATTTTCGAAGCAGGTGGTGTACCATGGGAATATAAGCATTTTGCCTTGCATAGCATATAGGAAAAATTGGTCTGTTCTCCAAGGATCACTTGGAGTGTTGTCATGGCTCATTATTCATGATGGAGCTTGACAGCTCCAAGGTTAAACACACTGCTGAATACAGGAGGGAAAAAAAAAAAAGACTGTGTGTTTTGTGTCTGTGGGAGTTGTGCTTGCAGTAGGAGTGAGTGCATTTTGCTCAGTACAAATCTATTGCCCAAGCATTTGGAAATCTTTTTCCTGTTCTTTGCTGCTTGTTCTTCTCAGCCTTGCTTGGTGCAAGAGGCAAGTGGAGTGGTAACTGTCAGGACTGAGTCTTGCTGCTGAACTCCACTACTGGCTCACATGATATCTTGTTTCTGAGCAAAGAGTTTCTGCAGAACTAATGATTCTTTTAAATTATGATAATTATTTTTAAAAGAAATTTTTTCTTTGCAGATGCCTTGCTTGCAACTGGTCAGGAATGCTAATTCCCCCATGCAATTCAGAGTTAGGATTCTTCAGTGAAGGTCATTGAGCAGATCAGAGCAACTCCTCATCAGTACAACATGACAGAAAGAACACAGAAACATTTATGCCTGTGGTGGCAAAATCTATCCTATCTCAGCAAGAAGGATTCATGCTGTAGATACATTTAATGTCATGTAAGCCTTCAGTTATTTTAGGTGAGCTCGCAAAGGATGAGCTGTGCGAATTGGTGAACTGCCATTCACTTGTGCACTGTGTGCTCTACAGAAAAATAATGTCTGCATCTTTTTTCTTTTTTGCTCTTTGCTTGTGTTCTTTAAGACCTCTTAATACCAATTGTCTTTTCCATATCTCAGGATCTGCAGGGCATCAAGGACACCCTCTGGTGTGTGCAGGAGTTTGAGTCTCATTTTGTACATTTTCCCTTAATCACAAGACTAGGAAGGGGAAGGAAAGACTTTGTAGCTGTTAGTCTCCTGTAGGTTTACATTATAAGAGGTGCTGTTGCTCACTT